TCTCTCAAGCTCCATGATATCATATCTTGGAGAATAAAATTTTATTCTGTCAACATTAGATTTACCTTTTGCAAACGGCGACCAACAATCATTCCGGTTTCGTAACGTGTCGCAGATACGCTCGCCGATATATATCGCAAAAATTAAGAGCTAGGCTAAAAGTATCCTTTTTAGCGTTTTTATTTATTTATTTATCGATTTTTCTTTCATTTGTCAATTAATTTAAACGATTCGATTAACTCTTTCACCCATTTATTAGGTATACAGAAATCAGTCATCCGACTGAACAAATAGGGCCGGGTTTCCCCAACCGCCACGCATAGGCCCTACTCTCTTTCAAAATTTTCTTTCTTTCCTCTGGAAATGGACTTTTAACACGAACTTTTCTCTTCCCCATAGTGTACTAGCTAGACTTCTTCGCTGCTAAGCTGATGTAAGACTTATGACCTATTACCGCACACGTAATCGGCTTATAACTCATTAACTGTGCTCCGACCCCCTCATGGCAACGGCCCTTAGTAACAGAGGCGTGGCTTAGTTGTCAGCCTGACTGGGGCACGTGCCGGTTGAAAAACTCATCAAAAGACACATTTTGCAATGCAAATTCATAAAAATTATTACATCCAACGTTAGATACTTTTTTGATTAATATAAACACACAAAAAACTCAAAAACATGATTTTAAGCGTAGTTAACCCTATCACCGGCCTTAAAGACAATCTGCAAAAAGCAAGGCCGCAAGCGTATCTTGCCCCCCTCGCAAAGAGTTCCCAAGTAGGCGAAGCAAGTGGTAAGCAATGAAGGTGTGTGTTGAGTACGGCATACGCCCTCACAGCCAACGAACAAAGTCAAAAGCGTGGCAGGAATGCGTCGTACATGCGTCACCCCAACGCCAGGAGTGTGAAAAGGCGTGCTCACGACACACTCTAGTATCTCGACAATTAACGCCTGGGGTAAACGACGATTTTCGCATACTTACCAATGGTTAAGGAATTCACTCCGGCATTCAAAGTTAGCTCATATATATATATTTTTTAATTAGGTCCTTTTTGTAATAATCTCTTACGTGAAGCCATCTTTAAATGTCTACGTGGTCTGATGGCAAGCACAGATTCCAGAGTAATTGCGCCAACCGCCGTTTTGGTGGTAAAATGGAATTTATTATATTTCAATGAGTTGTTTACGATGCATTTATTAGAAAAAAATGAATCTCATGCGAAAAGTTGTCATCCCTTTAAACTCTGCTGAAGAAACTCAAAATCTGCTGCTTTTCACCCTTGTTTTACACCTGTATTTTGTAAGGGCACGTGTCCACGTACTAGTCATCTTCACCACACTGGTCACGTGACCACCCTAATCCCTTTTTAAAACAACTTTAATTTCTTTTTGGTTACCTCATTTTATTTTCTTTTTGATTAAATGAAAAATTCTGTTGAAATACAGGATGCACATACTGGGTACTAAAAAAACGTTAGCAAAATAATTGAAAGACGAACAACACGATTTCTTCTTTTTGACAGCACGTCGACAGTGGAGTCCTTAAACGTGGTAATCCGGGACTTTATTCAAGTCGAGTCTATACAGAATGATAAAAGTAATGAGAAGATTTGCCATGAAGTGGAACCCTATCTGCAGCAGATTCCTCAGCTCCCACGTGACCATCTGACACAGACACATCAGTATACTGGTCACGTACGTCTTGGACTTCTTCCAGCGAGAGTGGGTATACAGCAGGAATATCTGAAATATGGAGGAATAATGAGAGTGGGTATACAGCAGGAATATCTGAAATATGGAGGAATAGTGGGTATACAGCAGGAATATCTGAAATATGGAGGAATAGTGGGTATACAGCAGGAATATCTGAAATATGAAGGAATAGCAGGGAATGAATTTGGAGATTATTTTGGTTGCAGATGTTGGGCCTTGTGTACTACTGAGTAGTATGGCACAAAGTACTACTGGCAGCAGTACAAGAAATATAATTTATGGCTACAATTACATTAAATCATTTGATTAATTAATTAATTTATTTATTTATTACTAAAACCACCTTTAAAGATGAGTAAAAGAATAAATAAATATAATAATAAAAAAAAAAAAACAGTAATTAAAATGATTTTAAGAGCATTCCCGCCAACATATATTCTTTTGAGAGTCTGTTCTGATAGCTGGGGCTGTTTACTAAGGATCTCAGCGTATCAACCAGTCCTGACGGTGCATGCAGGTCCGCATCTTTTTCTGTTTGCTGACACAGTATATTTAAAGTTAGGAGCTACACATAAATACATGTCCCACTTAATTTATTAGTGGAAGGATTTCTAATTCTCTTTTTCTCTATTTCATGTGTATCTCTCAGTTTAAAGGATATCTGCAACAACTTTAACCTCATACCACATATGAGGATAACTTCATAGAACAGCTTAAGTAAAAGTTAACCTTAACTTTGATACCCAAACTTTTAGTTAGCATTGTTTTAAGATAATTCAAAAGGTGGAGGTCCACTAAAATAGGAATATGAGACATATTTCACTAAAAGTAAGAAATATTTAATCCCAGCCTACCTGATATATACAGAAGAGACTTGTGAGCATGAACGCAGCACCATATACAAAAGAGTTGATCTCTGTTAACTGAAAGTATACAACATGGAAATATTGTTCAAGAAATCAGGGTATATCTTTGGTCATGTAACAGCTTTAACAGTGTTTAAGAATTATTCAAAAACAATGCATTGTGTGTTGTATCATATTGCAGTGTGTGTGTGTGAGTGTGTGTGTGCGTGCGTGCATGTGTGTGTGTGAATATTGTGTTAAACTGCATCTAATACAAGGACTGCTTTCGCTGCATACACTTTTATGTACATGTATATGATTGTAGAGTTGTACAATGTGATGTGTACCATGATGCTCTTGTTTTGTGAATGTGTTGTTTTGTGGTATTCTATCATATTGTATTGCATTGTGTTCACATTCAGTTGTATTTTGTGGTGTTGTGTTGCATAGTGCTGTTAGTGTTATGTTGTATATCTCAGTTTTTTCACCTGCATCTACATGGATGTAACCATCATTGTGTTGTGTTGTATGTTGTGTTGTATATATCAGTGCTGCCACCTACATCTACATGGATGTGACCATCTTTGTGTTATGTTGTGTTGTATATATCAGTGCTGCCACCTACATCTACATGGATGTGACCATTGTTGTGTTGTGTTGTATATATCAGTGCTGCCACCTACATCTACATGGATGTGACCATCGTTGTGTTGTGTTGTAT